TTATATTTTTACATAACAGAATACATTTTTACTTCCTTGCACGAAGTAAACAGGAAGTATTGTCATCGCGAAAAATTTCGGGTATCATATTTCAACAAAAGTATCCAATTTAACTATGTTTTTGTGTGACATCTGCACGTAAAGACAGAATAAAGGACTCGTTTTCTACAAAAAAAAAAAAAAAAAAAAAAAAAAATTATAAAACTGATTTAGAACGGATTCTGAGGACATTTTTTGTGGCGTCTGTGCGTACGTTCTTATCTCAAAATCAAGTCAACTCAAAAACGAGTAGCCTCAGAACGTTGAAATTTTGTATATAGGACTGCGATAACATGCACATGTGCACCTCTTATTTAGGTTACTTAAATTTTAAATTAAAGTTCATTTCCTGTCAAATTCTTAACTTCAACTTACTACTTCCGGCCAGAACGTAGTTTTGGAATCATTTTGGATACTAAATGAGGATGAGCGGTATTTAAACCGCGAAGTCTACTTGCAGAGTTAGAGAGAATCAGAGTTTCTGATTTGCGCGCGTTTCCCTTTTGGCTACTCTCTCTCTCAAAGCTGTTATTACGTTCGGCCGTACTCAGGCCCTTGATAAGCTTCGTAGTCAAATAGAGTTAAGGGGCCAACTCGATTAGAATCTCGATACCTTCGACTATATTTCTTTTAGTTAATCTTAGTTTTAGTTTATTTCTTAGTCTCTTAAGTTCAAGCCCAAGTGTCGGCTTTGATTGTACACTCCAAGATGGAGTTTTGTTAAATCTTATTGGAATAATAAAGGGTTAGTTAGTTAGTTACCCATCTTTCTTGCTGTTTCTTGTTACACGAACTTAAGGGATTATTCGCTAACTAGTTCTTAAGATTCGTCACTTTCTACAGCAACTGAGTGAGAATACACTAGTGACAGTACACTAGTGAGAATCCTACAATATATCACTCTGCTCCGTGAGCTCAGTTTCTTTATACTTACATGTTTGTAAATTGTGCATCTTTTTTTTAAAAAGGATTGAATTGGGTCATTCTTCTCTTCCGCTTAAGGTTGTAGAGACATTAGGTATTTTTTGGAAGCAGGTAAGATGAAAAATATGCAACGCCTTCGCCGGGAATCGAACCGCGGACCTCTCAATGATGCGCTCAGCGTGCAGACTGCTACACCACGAAGGCTCGCTAAGAAGGCGGGAGAAATACCTTATAAGGTTTTTATGTCTTTTCTTAACCTGCATGTTGTCAACAATTTAAAAATTGTTTAAGTGCGGGTTAAGCCTAGTTCTTTTTAGAATAACAGCCACATTTGTTTACATTTGAAACTTAGCAGAATAGTGGACCTGTTGCCAATCTAGAGAAAATAAGCTTAGCAGCAACAAAGTAACGTCTTAAATTATGCTTAATTCATTCTATAATTATCATATAAATTATCCGATATATTGACTCAGTATAGCGTCCACAACAAATTAAGTCAGTTTCTAAGCCTCCAGTGTCTTTTTGCCGAGCGAGACCAAAAGTAAACTTTCAGTTTTGTGGACCGAAAAACCTGCCTTCATGCCCGCTGACCGAATGGCTTGTTTTTGAGTAGAAACTGTAATTTTAATTGCAGTTTTTTTTTAAATCGTCGGAACTGTATTTAGTGTTTTACGTTTTTCTATATCTTTCAATTTTTAGTATAGATATTTTAAGTTTTTATGTATTTTTGCCCTATCGCGAAGTTAAAACTGAATTAATTGAATGAGAAATGTATCTCTAATGAAGCTCGAGGAAATAAGTTTAAATGAAAGCCAGAAAAAAATGCGTATAATTTAATATTACGTACAAGGAGGTCATGTACGTAATATTAAATTATACAAGAGGTCATGTGGTGTAAACATCAGATTTTTTGTATAAAACATGGTAAAGAAAGAACTGCATTTGAATTGTTCCTAATACCAATATTGATACCAGCAAGTGTTATACAGTCAAACAGCGACTTGAAAAATTATTCGAAGCATAATCTCATTTCTTCAAACAATTAATACTCTAAGGGTAGCCCTCGTCACTTACTGGCTCCAAACCACAATTAACGAACTTTTATACCTTCTGGAAGAAAACTTATAAACTAGAATTAAAAATAATTAAACTCTAATAAACAGAAAAGTTGACTTCTGACCCATTTATCATTAAAAACTTTGTTACTAATACTTATCTGTACTTAAGGAGCATTTCGGAAGATAATGTTAATACAATATTTCAGTAAATCATATTCAGTGATATCAGATTGTATATGTAAGATTCTCACTAGTGTATTTCTCAGTTACTCTAGAAAGTGACGAATCTTAAGAACTAGTTAGCGAATAATCGCTTAAGTTCGTGTAACAAGAAACAGCAAGATGGAAGGGTAACTAACCCTTTATTATTCCAATAAGATTTAACAAAACTCCGTCTTGGAGTGTACAATAAAAGCCGACACTAGGGCTTGAACTTAAGAGACTAAAAATTAAACTAAAACTAAGATTAACTAAAGAGATACAGCCGAAGCTATCAAGATTCTAATCGAGTTGGCCCCTTAACTCTATTTGACTACGAAGCTTATCAAGGGCTTGAGTACGGCCGACCGTAATAACAGCTTTGAGAGAGAGAGAGTAGCCAAAAGGCAGGCACGCACAAATCAGAAACTCTGGTTCTCTCTAACTCTGCAAGTAGACCTCGCGGTTTAAATACCGCTCCTCCTTATTAAGTATTCAGAATGGTTCCAAAACTACGTTCTGGCCGGAAGTAATAGGTTGAAGTTAAGAATTTGACAGGAAAGGAACTTTAACTTAAAATTTAACCGTTAATCAAATTAACATAATTCTTACAAGATAATTAGCCTTCGTCAAAATATCTTCTTTCGTAAGGTAAGCTTTCAACCGAGTGTTTACGTTACACAGTACTTTCAAAAGGTAAGTCATTTAAATTTCTTCAGATGATTAAATTTCATCGGCGATTTCCTAGCTACGAAACAAAGGTAGAATGAAGTTCCAGAAATTCTTTGGCAGTCCAGCTTTTCGGGGATATCGCGAGTTTCTTTAGACCTATGACATTACAAAAAACATTCGATTTCGACTTATTCGATTTTACAAAAAACATTTTCACGACCGCCTGGCGCCGGGTGCTAACAAAATTCATTTAAACTAAATCCAGGAATATTTACAGACATTTTTTGGAACATATCTTTTCTGTGCGAAGGAACAGGAAACCGGAGTGAATTTAGTTTCAAACAAACGTTTGATTTCTGATTTGAAGACCAAATCACGTCGACCAGTTAACAAACCATCGGAAAATAATTAAACTTTGATAAACAAAAAAACCTGAATTCTGGCCCATTAATCAATAAAAACATTGTTACTGATTCTTATCTGTGCTTAACGAGTACTCCGGAAAGTAACGCATTCAGTACGGAAGGGTGTCTTGCACGGCGGGAAAAAAAATTTCGGAAATTGAATCGAACTGGGAGCAAAGATTTATGACTCACAGACGAACGGGTTTTCTGCAATTAGTAGTTCGGCATCCATATCAATTAAGCAAGTTCGATAATTATCACGTCAGATATCAGACTGTGTTCCAAATGAAAATGAGCAGCACGTTTACGGCCGAAAGTGAAATGGAACTCTATTAGATTTGGAGTTGCTCTATCAAACTCGCGTCTTTTAAATAAACATTTCTTTCAGAAGGTATAGTTATTACCCCGATACCTGCTTTCTTTATTGTTCGCCGGCATTTTGCATCGAATCACTTTTCAAACTGATGCTACCAAATAATATCACTCTGTGTTATATTTAAAGAAACTAAATAATGAAGAATTTGCAATGAATGCATGTTTCTAGCACTGTGAAGAAACAATGGTACCTAGAGCCATCTAATTTTGAATAACGTAGTCCTCCAAACGAACATAGTCACTTGGAAGCCCGAATTTCGAATTTGCTTTATTATCTACTAGCAGCTGCGCTGCCAGCCTTCGTGTGGCTTTTAAATGTATCGGAAAAAGGCCTGAAGGGAACACCAAACGTTAAATTTAAAAGCTGCGCAGAATTTTACTCTGCAGAACAGCTTCATAAAAAAATACCCACAAATTAAAAAAATGCATAACATGCAACAAAATTACAATATGAAATAAGCAATATCCCTTAATATAAATATTCATTATCCTAATAAATAAATTAACCAACTTCCCGTTGCCTTCTTTCAACAAACGTCTAGTATCCAAGAGAAACATTAAATTTAAGAACTGCGTAGAATTATCGCCCTCATTTTTCCAAGTGGCAACAGTGCTGATTTTCAACAGTCAGCAGTCCAGTATACAATTGAATGAAAAACTGTTGCCAGAAACCACATTTCTAAAAAAAAAGAAACTATTCAAAATGATGCGATAAAATCGAAAAGATTAAATAAAAAAATTGGATTGGAATTTTAAAACAATCGCTTCGAGGTGCACTGGCTCTTGTCTAGATGCACCTATATACCAAATTTCGTGGCCCTGGATCTTTTAGCTTATGCGCAGCACGAATGAAAAGACACACAGACTCTTTCTTTTATTATATGTAGAGATTTCAAATTTTGTCAAACTTTAACGAATTTTTGATTAACAAATTCAACGATTTTAAAGGGAGTCATGGCAACACATTACGGGGAAAAGCACTTTTATCTCCAGTTCGGAAATTCTAAAGATATACTGTTTTTAAATATTTTATGATACTGCTGTTGATTTGAATTTTATGTGTTTTAAGTGCGAAGAACATAATATTTAATAAATAACAGTAATACACACCAAATGGAAAAAAAAAAAAAAAAAAAAAAAAAAAAAGAGCCTTTTGGGCGTAATATAAAATCTGAAAGTTTTCCGAAAGCCAATTTTTTTAGTATGTGTTTGAAAGTATTTCGATTATATTTGCAAATGATAATATCAAGAGCAGCTGAATAATTAATTACATTCAACTAGTAGTAAGGGGAGATCGCTGGGAAGTAATTATAAGAACTGAATGTCTTACCTGGCAATCAGTGAAGGGGTCTGCATAGAGGCCAGGTCCCGGTTGTGCTCCGCAATCGAAATCTGTTTGCGGTATGTATGTGTAAACGGGGTAATCCTCCCCTGGTACTCCTTTTCGGGCAAAAGCGGTATACCGACTCACGGGCTTCTTCCTGCGCCTTCCACGGGTAACGTACTGGTAGTCGTCGTCGTCATCATCTTCCTTGCTGTACCGGTTAGCCTGAAACAGAACAAACGTCTGCTTTTATTTGGGAGCTAGGACATGATACTTCCGAAAGGGAAATCAGATTCAAAATGCGCAACAAATGGAAACGAAAATAAATATCTCTAAATTGATTTCATAGTCTCTGTTTGTAAACTTATGTGAAACATTATAAGGTTTTTCTCTCGTCTTCTTAGCATGTCTTCGAAGTGTAACGGTTAGCGCATTCGGCTCGTATTCCAGATGTCCGAGGTTCGAGTCCTGTAGAGGGCATTGCCCATGTTTCGCATATCCCGTGTAAAAAATACCTAATGTCTCTACAGTGGCGCCGCAAACTAAAAAAAGGTAAAGGAGGATGATTCTCCACCTCCAGGATTTGGTGATTGGGTTCCCTAATCACCAGTCGCCCTTTAAAAGAAGCAGTATATAAAGTATTTCTCTCACTTTCTTAGCAAGCCTTCGTGGTGTAATGGTTACATTGTAACTATGTAATTCTGAAATAAATCATTCAATTGTTCTGAAATTTCAATCATTTTCTATTCCGTACATAATCTTCCTATGTACCAATTTCTGTATCCTTCGGACAAATCCTTCTTGGTGCGTCGATTTTTTTGTTATAGAGTGTAGAACTAGCATTGGCAAAGATGAGGTAAAAGTGATTTAAAAAATGAGCATTTAAATCATATTTTATTTTATATTTTGCTTTAACATGCTAGCACGCCTCTGATTGTTACGGTAGAAAACAGTGGAGCTAGGTTCACAAGTCCCGAAAAAAATTGGTTCACGAACAAATTTTCCAGAGAAAAATTATTTTGGATTACGAACGATGCCTTGAGATACGAAAACGTAAGATGGCGACGAATGAGTCTCCCAGATGTAGTGGAAGAAATGTCTTCTTTTCAAATTTCAAATAGATTTTTGATCCTCGAAAGAATAAATTAAACACTGTGCAAAATGGAGTAAGTTTCAAAGGTTCATAAAACAGTATCACCCTCATAAAGCAGCAACAAGCCGTAGCATATTTGTAGTCGCCGTATCTTGCTTGAAGGAAATTTTATAACACAAAGAAAGAAACAAATCCCTGTGGGCAAATCTTTGGTGAGGCAAAGGCTCAGTGATTCTTAAGTAGAGGTGAGCGGGGTAATGAGAAAGATAAAAACCTCAGAAAGCCAGCAGCTATTCTGATATTTGTAAGGAATAGGATTTTCTTTTAACATTTTATAACTTTGACTTCTTCAGCGTTTTCTACGAAACTTTCCTTCGGAGATATACGGTAAACATTAATTCATGTATGTTCAGTTATTGTGTATGTGTAAGTGTTAACAAACTCCATTGGTTCGGCATTAGAAAGCATTCTTTTCTAAGCAATCATTTGGGTTTCGGGAACAAATAACTTCATTTTACATTTATTAGTAGGAGAAAATAATTTCGGTTTACGAATATTTCGGATGACGAACTGTCTTCAGCAATGAATTAAGTCGGGTCATTGCACATTTTCAGTATTACTGATATTTATAAGTACCATATTTGACGGCATATAACATAAGACGCACTGGCATATAAGACGCACCCTTATTTAGAAGGGCCACACACAAGGGAAAAAAATTTCAATAGTCCACAATAACTTAAAATGTGGTTTCTTTTAGTTCTCACGTTTCGTTGCCTATCATGAAATTAGACTTTAATCACTTTCAAAACCATAAAAATACTTTTCACTATCATCATCATCGAAAATGAAAATACCGTCATCACTACTGTTTCCGTCATCGCTAGTACTATCACCTTCTTCGAATAATGCGTCGTCTTCTGTTCCATCAAGAGTATTACTGATTCCGCACTTCTTGAAGGACTTAACAGTTACTTCAGCCTTTACGTCCTCCCAAGACCTTTTTACCCACTTGCACACTTGTGAAATAGAGAGTCGCTTCATTCTACTATTCTTCATTCCGCTATTCTTCATTCTGAGGGTGTGAGGGCGTGATGTGGCTCTCCTATCTATTTGTTCCATCGTTCTCGCACTTTTTCCTTTAATGTCTTATTCACCGATACATCTAAAGGCTGCAATTGGCTAGTCAGTCCACCAGGAATGACAGCTATCTGGTTTTTTTTAATTCTCTCGCTTTATTCTTTATGGTTTCAGTTCTATGGGCGCTAAACTGATCCAAAACCAAAAGAAAGGGTTTTCTTAAGAGTCCACCAGGTCGCCTCGCCCATACCTTCTGTAACTACAGTTTCATTCCAGCTTCGTCCATCCAGCTTTTCGGATGAACAGGAATAATTACACCCGTTGGACGCTCCATAGACGTAATGTGACCATCGAACCTGTTCGAACTTCGACATCAGCTTCGAGCTTTGGCGCTTTCTGGCGACAGATATTTCACGCAAGTGCAAAATAATTATGGCCGATGTAAAAAGTTATGTGGTCTTACCTTTATCCGGGCTAAAAATAGCATTCAGTATTGAAAGTTCACCTGTGTCCTTCACGTATAAGACGCAGGTAACTTTTTTGAGACTAAATTTAGGAAAAAGGTGCGTCTTATATGCCGTCAAATACAGTATTTTACCCTGATACGCGACTGTTATTGATTGCCATGACAGGGCATCATGGATAATTGGGACGCCATTGTAAAGATATGAGCACCATTTTCCAAGTGGGTAACTTTTCATTGAGACAGAAACCTTGCCTTATTAATCAGAGAAGCAAACTATAATCCTACCTGCATAGTAGCGTCGCCATCATGAAGATATCAACACCTTTACGAAATTTTCTTCAAATAAAAAAAAGTTTCTTGAAAAGGGGGCTAGTTCCGTGAACAGTTGCTGACATTCCATACATTTTTTGACGTCTTTGTGACGATGTTTGAAGCGGTCCCAATCGTGTGTAGTATTATTGGGTGGTGTGCTGCCCGACCGGTGTAGTGCTTAGAGTTGCTGACTGCCATGCTGAAGGACCCGGGTCCGAATCTCGGAGAAGGCACGGATGTTTGTAAACGTACAGTGTCGGTGCGGTATGGCGGCACTCTAAATATGCGGCGAGCCGAAAGTCCTCTCGTGTGATTTGGTGGAAGGGGGGTTTGCGGTGGGGGACCCTCGGACCCGTCCCCCCGGAGTGTTCGCCATCAAAACTGGGGCGGAACTGAGCAAAATTTCGCATTGTCACCTGAACGGTACTCAAGCTTGTTGACAACGGCAGGCGTAATCTAGCGCTCCTTGTCACGAAGAACGTGTGCTTGAACTGACTGCGTCAGACAAGTATCTAAGTATCAAAGAATCTGTATGTTGAAAAAAAAAATAAAGATAAAAATTCTGTTTTTTAGACAGAAACACAAACATAAATATATATATATATATATATATATATATGAGTAAACAAAGAACAAGAAGCAGGAACGAATTGACATGGTTTAATGAAACTGGAGCAGCAGAAGATAAAACTAAAAATTTGTAGGAAAAGTGGAATATATTACGAGGAAATACTTTGCATGTTTCTTGTAAGATTTCTCAACGGAACACGTATAGCGATAAGACGCAGTATCATTCAGGTATCGGAATTTACTGAAATGAATCATTTTCTTTCATTGAAAAAGAGAAGATTTCAATCAGACAAGAAGTTTAGATTTTTTTTTTTTTTTTTTAAAGTATTGATTTTTTCCTGTCTTCGTTAGAAGATCAGATAAAGTGAAAAATGACTGCCTTTTTCGAAGTAGCGATAGAAGGAAAATATATCAGACAGCAGTTGAATTTTAAGTTAAGATCCTATTTTAAATAAATTTAAACCAGGTTAGGAATGGCAGTTGTCGTTTTTAATCCTTAGTTAATCGCGTTGCTGCTTGTCGCGCAACAATTCGTGTGGGATCCCCCCCCCCAAAAAAAAAGAAAAGCTGAAAGTTTTCAAATTTTAAATTACGTCTAGAGCGGCGATTTTTTACCGTTTTGTGTGTCATCTTTATTTATTAAATACTAGTAACTTCGCTGCCAGCCTTCGTCTGGCTTTTAAATGTACCGGAAAAATGGCTGAAGGAAACACCAAACGTTAAATTTAAAAACAGCGTAGAATTTTACTCTGCAGAACAACTTCATAAAAAAAGTTATTACGTATAACAAAATTACAATGAAATAAGCAATATCCCTTAATACAAATATTAATTATCCTAATTAATAAATTAACTAACTTCCCGCAGCCTTCTCTCAACAAACGTCCAGTATCCAATATCTTACAAACAGTGAAATAAGCAAAAAATAACGTGAAAGCAACTCAAAAAACATAAAATTCCGCGCAGAATTTTACTCTACAGAACAACTTTATCAAAAACAAAAAATGTAAAAATGTGTTATATATATATAAAAATGACAATGAAATATGCCAATCTCTTAAAAACAGTAACATAAGAAATACGATGAAAAATTGTTGCCAAACCCATATTTCTAAAGGAATGAAATATTCAAAATGATGCGATTTCATCAAAAATCTATCAACAACAATAAGACAGGAAAATTGTTGCCAAAATCACAGTTTTAAAGATGTGAGATGTGAGAAGTGTACTCGGAAGCTTCATTTAAAAATTTTTTTAAAGATACAAAATATTATTATTTTTTCAAAATTCTTTTTGTAAAAGCAATCGCAAGGATAAAAGTTTAACGTGTCCAAAAATCAAAGAAAAATAAACTGTACATTTTTAAAAATAAACTTTTTTAGAAAAAATCCCGTTGAAAAGGTGTTAAGCTCCGTTTGCTAAATAAATTCGTATTTAATCGATTTATTGAAACAAGAAATTTATTTTAAGTTCGTAAAATTTTAAGTTCGTAATAGTTCGTAAATAAAAGTGTCTACGTTTCATGACGATGTGAAAATGGAGTGTGTAGAGTAAAATCTCGCTTTCCTATAGCCCATTATGTCTCAAAATGACGCGATTTCGTCACAAAACATGAAATAAAAAAATTCGAATTCGAATTTCGAAAAAAAAAAAAAAAAAAAAAAAAAAAAAAAAAAATCGCTTCGAGGTGCACTGGCTCTTGTC